AAAACTGTTCAACATCGTAGACCGTTTGGTTTTGTTGCTTAATACTATTGTCTCTTACCGAGCTCACATGGAAAATCCGTGTAAATTTTACGAAGATATTTAGGGTTTAAATTATCAACCATAAACTTGATACGCGTCTTTTTGGAAAAAATTGCTTAGTTATCCGGGATAAGTACATAACTGGATGCATACTTAACCGGGAGGTTACTGTACCTCCACGTCACCAAATATTTCCTTCACAATGTACTAAACTTTTGGTATATATTCTAATGTTCCAACCAGTTTAGATTTCATTTATTTATGAATTTTTTTTTATATAAAACACAATTTTCTTTTGTAAACACAGTTTTCCTAGATACACCATTCTCTTATATGTGTTCTTGTAATCTGATATATACTAAATCTATTTGTTTCAGATCCCCAGAAAATTCGTTTAGAAAGATAAAATTTGAAATGTATATATACATAGAACATATGCAAGGATACTTACTGTTAATCATTTGCTCTGACAGAATTGGCTGAATCGAGGTGCTACTCAATTCGTCAGTATATGATCAACAAAGCAGTCCGCTGAATAGAGGAATCGAAAGACGAAATATGGCAGTAAAGATCCGTGTGAAGGCAGAACTTACAAAGAGAGATAAGAGAATGGTGTGGACTGGAAATATTTGCGCCTGAGCCTAATATGAGCCAAGAAAATCCCTAGCACTGGAAAAGGCCTAGAATATTGTCAGAACTCAGAATGTAAGCTAAACAGTAACGTCACTGCGTTCGCTTCCTTCGTCAAGATCGGAGATAGGTCTCGTTCATCCCTGCCACAAATATGCAGTACAAGGATACGTTAGAAATAACGCTTGTGAAACGTATATCTGCATCTACCAATATCAATTCGAAACTTAGTGTCACAAATGATAGTCTGGTGTCAAAAAATAAGGTCAAGTGTATCGAGAATCTCTTTAGATTCAATCCACTATAATACATTTGAAGGCCAAAGGGATTGTGGCACAGACATTGGATTTTGGGATTTTACGACATGTTCAAGCCCAAAGCTGATCTAGATAGATCAAAAATATGAAAGATCACCTTAAACTGGGCTTATAAATAGCCTTCTGATTCACTCAATGACATCGAGAACGTGAGATTTACCTGAGAATGATCCACACTCTGTTTCTACCATCGCTGTGAAAAATACAACCAAATCGACTCCGATTTCACTTCACCGCATGTTTCTGCAGTTCAAGCCATTCCTATATCGCGATCTATTGGGATAGAAAAATCTGTGTGGTGAATCTGCAAGCATCCATTTCAGTATACGCGTTGATCCTAACTCCGAGCCACTCATACTGGCATTCCATGATTTCAAGGCCACCGCATTGCCTTTCCTGTCGAGTACACAGGAATGGAAGACCAGATGTGTGGATACAAGAGAAACAATCGTTCAAGAACGGAGTTTGAAGCTCGGAAATTGCAGAGGAGTGAATTGGAATCGAGTCAATAGTCTTGAACTCTAAATTTCCAAGTGTACGAGATGAGATCCGTAAGCAGCCGAACAGAGGAGATTGGGTGGATTGTAGTCTCTCCGAGTGAGCTCGACACGACGACTCGGAAGATTTGAGAGAATCACAGCAGCTTGGGAATTTTTTACTACTCCAGCTTCAGGACTGTACATTAGAATTTAGTCTATGATTTTTCAGAGACAGACGTCGTGCAGGGTACGAAAGTCGAGTTCAGCACAAAATCCCAAAAGGGATGTGGATTGCTACCAATAAGTAAAAAAGATGAGAACTTAAATCCAACGCATACGAATTTCAATCTACACCATACTCCTACTCACGCTCGATAGAAAAACGAGTATTTAGACGATTCGCGGCGATTCGCTCTAAATATAAAACTCGGGTTTCAACTCATTGCCGACTAGTAAGTCGAGGACTGAGAAACTGAGGAGCTGATCTTGAGCTTTCCGACATAGCTTTGCAACTTCAAGGTGCAACTCGAAGAATATGACATAGCTATACTTTATGACATTGGGTTAGCTATGGGATGGGATCGACACATTGAACTGAAGGATTCCATCCAAGTTTACCTCACCAGTAATCGAAATAACTTGGAATTTGGAGTCGAGCTACTTCATCTCGCTCGAAAGGTGATGAAGTGAGGAATGAGGTTGAACATCTTATTAGGAATTATGATTCTGTGAGCCAGTCTCTCTTATCTTTAACCAGTAAACTTCTACGACGTGTGAAACCTTGTATGCAGATGGCCACGATGTTCATGAGTCTCGATCGATAATCCACAAAGTCCGAAGATATCACGTGCAGTTGCACTGGCATCCTTCTTCGACTCCCTCGAACCACAAACTTAATGAAGTTACATTGCAAAGCCGTGATTCAATTTACAGAAGTAAGGCAGGAATGGATATCATTATCCATACATTGTTGTGTAAACTTTTGTATTCAACATGTTTCTTTGTTTTAGAAGAACCGGTTTAGATGATCACTTTGGGATACGCTTTTGCCATTGTTTTAGAACAATCGGTTTAGATGATCACTTCGGAATATGTTATTGCCATGGTAGTTTTGATATAGAACAGATGTAGCTCATTATTGCAATAATGAGTTGTTATTTTCATCCGTTTTGTTTTTCTTTGTACTCTTGAAGGTAAATCCCTTCCTTTCTATTACTTACATGTTTCCAAGTTATGTCTTGGTTAAAATTTAGAGGGGAGGTGATGTAGGGAGTATATATATTTATGATAGGATTGCATTTATCCAGAATAAAAGTAAATTTTAACATAATTCTAACTTGCATTTGGTTTACGGCTGTGAAGAGTACCTACCTTAATAAACAGTATGAAAAAACCTTTTGGTGGAATGAAACCTAAGATGTTCAAATATATGTTCGGTGAAAAGTTATTAGTAACATATTTTCAACCATTAAAGATTGAGATTATAAGTAGATTTTATGCAAAACGTGATTTCACACTTTAGAATCAATATTCATTGAGACATAAATACTTCTTTTTTTAAATTCTTAGGTTTGTATCACTTAGATTTTCAATCAATTGCATTAATTCTTTCTTGAGCGAGTCATTGTTTGAAAATTGAGAACTGTATTGGTATTGAAAATAAATTGACATCATTTGTTAGTTGCAAGCTAAAGAACTATATTATTATTTTACTGTGAAAATTATATGGATTCACTAACAAATTTTGTAACAATCTGAATAAAAATGATGCTTTAGCTGCTAACGCGAACATATCACACATCTAATGAACTGAATACTCCAACTTGAGAACTGATCTACAATTGAGTTAATTGGTTGTACATTGACAGTAATTGTTAGATTAAAATAAAAGAATTTCCCTTTGAATAATCTCAACTATATTCCAGAAAAGTATACAAAATATTCATAATTTTAATTTATCTGATTTACAACCTATGTTTCTAGATTTGTAAAAGATACTCATAATTAAATCTGCAACCATCAACATATATACTTTGTCCGATGTTGCAATCAGCGGAAGGTTGACCAGCAAAATGTTATATCGACGGTTGAATTAGAGTAATTGCTGCGTCTAAACTACCAAAGTGGGCTTTCTAGGTTCAGTAGCTCTGACAATTTCTGAAATATCTGAACAAAGTTTTGCACGTAGGACATTGATTTGTACATATACATATACAATGGCATGAGAGAAAATTGTGTCTGATACCCTCAGAATTCAAAACATTTTCATCTATATCAGAACATTTGAGATTTGTTAATATTACGAGAACTCTGAAATAGCATTGAAGTGCTTGCCTTCTGGTGAGAGGAATTCATACATCTTCATTGAAGCTCTACCTCAAGAAAGTAATTAGCCAAAAGTTGAGAGATATTTCAAAAACCCTCTCAAACTGTGTAGGATCGTTATTTTATTTGTAGGTATTCAAAGTTTTTTCAGAAGTATTCGATAGACAAGTTACAGTTCCTTTTATGCTGGAAGAGGAAGTTCCACAAAGAGCATTCAAACAAAGCTGCAACCAAAACATATTCGCTACTCCTCGTTCATTCTATACCCGACCCGAGGTTGAGAGGCGGACAAAATCCGGTAAGATGAATAATAAGAGTTCGTCCTTGTGAAACAATCGGTTGTCGAATGTGGTGGTGAGTGTGGCAGTCCCTTCAAATCCAAGTGCTTGCGGAACACGTCAGCAAATATCTCTCTATGTATCTTGTACCGTCCACATAGTACAGTACATTACCCGTGCATGAATAATGGAAGAATCTTTTAGAATGATGACACGGTATCAATCAAGTGTTGTTGATTCATCCAAGTACACACCAACCGAAGGCAGAAATGTGGAAAAGAAGATCGGATGGATGAACGACACTTCAACACATCTAGTTTATCAAACCTTCCGCCCATCCCTCTTCGTTAACGAAACAAAAATCCCAAATGTTTTTCTCACTAGTAGACCACATATCACAACAGTAATTACCTAAATTTCCGATAGAGCAAAGTTGGAGCAAAAGTGTTCATCATGGCATAGACCTGTTGTGTCACTCATATATCCCAATTTGTCACTATGTCCGCTGTGTGAAGAGCTTTCCGTCTCGGATGATGATCGATATTCTCATCTTCTTTTCTTCTATGTTTTCTTCCACTCCACAGAAGAGAAGACACACTGCCGGATCTGATGCTAAATCGGTCGAACATTTCGAATGGAGTTTCGGTAACTCAACGTACGCAAGATGACAGTCAACAGATGCAACCACCAGTGGGAAGCCATGTTAGCATGCAACGATCAAACTGCTGCAGTGAGTCCAGTGGCTTCGGATCTATGTGCAGGCGCTTCTGTCATCGTCTGATCAATACGCGAACCTAATAACACAGCAAAAAACAAAGCTTCTTTTTATACACACTACAGTGGAAATCAATTCTCACTCAGATTCGACTGAAACATATCAAATGTCCGAAACAAAGGTACCTTAGACTTGTCTCGGACAGCGAGGTTAGGTTAGTGAATGTACAGTTACTTCCGATGTTCAGCTCTTGCATAATGCAAGTTGTATTCACATCCATGGAGCCTCCATGGAGCCTCGGGTTGCAAGTTTCTTCATGGATTAACAACTGTTGAGAAGCAGTAAGTATTAGTCAGCTTTTGGATCATCTTAAAAGCAAATTTCATGCTGAGCTCACGAGGGAAAGGTCTATTCAATAGGGTGAAAAACGACTTCATATCCAATTTAAATAGGCCTACAGTCCTGATTTGATGATTATTTGCTTGATCTGCACTCCAATGTTGAGATCACACTCGTGACAACGGAACCTGCAGAGGGCGCGCCGACATTCATGGTCTCCATGAGCTTGAACTGGAGGGAAGGAAGCTCAGCGAGTATAATAAGAACACGATGCCACCGGATTCTTCAGTAGCACAACACATTGCTCTGAAATCCCCTCCTTTTCTCGCCATCTCATTCCATTCCATTTCTCTTTCTTTGTTCTAGCTAGCCTGCGTTTCTTTGATCTATCAACCCTCTCAAGATGTCAGGCTGCGGAAACTCTGATTGCTCGTGCGGCGCTGCCTGCCAGTGCGGCAGTGGCAACAGGTCAGTCAACTTCTATTGCTTCAAGTGTAGCCAGAATGTGAACGGGTGAATCTACTCGACTGTGACGGTGACGTGTTTGTTTTTCTGCAATTGTTGCATTCATTTTCACCAAATGATTTTGTGACATCGATGAAGAGAAGACTTTTGAGAGTTATTTCACAGTCCAATGTCGAGTATCGAGTATCTTGTAGTTCACAGATTCCACTTTAGTCTTGTGATTCAGGCCCTCTAGAAACGGCTGTTAACATTCTAGACTGCAGTTAAGCTTGTCTAGAATAAATCTGCCGTAAAGTAGGATCTGAAGTATTCGATCTAGCGAGTCCACTCTAATCCGCCGATCCGGTTTGTCAATGAAGCTGCTGCGCTAAGAGGTCCATGAACGACTTCGAGAGTTCCGAGATGAGAGGGTACAATTCTACACTTTTAAATTATTCCATGTTCGAGAAAGGAAGGCCAATCTTACTTCCAGACTTTACCTTCTTAGATTGTCAGTAATATTGCACACTACAAATTTGACGCGACCGCTTTATAATTTGCTGTTTTCTTGTTTAAATCTGCTGCCTCTTTTCTGATAAAGCTTCTGATGATATTTCAGGCCAACTGTTAAGATATTTTAGGCCAACTGTTGGCCTGAACAAACACGATGCAGGAGTTTGTCCTGTAAAATCCTGAGCTTATAATGGAAGCTCCTGAGTTCTCGCCCATACATCCTGCCTGTCAACAAGTATGATCATCCAAGTAAGAATACTCCACAACACCTGATATGCCCCTCACAATGAACCTATAACGCTTGGTTAAAGTGCACCACTAGGACGACTAGATTATGCTTTGAGTTGGGACATGATTGGACTCTTTCTCTACTCTTTAAGCGTTCACTTCTTGGAAGTATACTAGTCCGGCTAAGTATTACAATCAAAAGCCTAAATCTCTAACTTTAAGGTCTAGATGTATGTACCACAGACTTAGTTACAGTTGGACTCTCTCTCTACTCTTTAAGCCTTCACTTCTTGCAAGTAGACTCGTCTGTCCCTCTAAGTACTACAATCAAAAGCCTAAAACTCTAAGTTTCAAGTCTAGGTGTATGTACCACTACTTAGTTACAGTTATGAATGAAAGAAGTATGAACCATCATATGTACACTATGACAAGCACTAAATCTTTTCTAAAGTCCAAATCATCAATCCATGAATTCCTTGTATTTCTTTTTCATGATGTTCCAAGGTGTATTGTGTTATTCAGCTCAGCAGTATAGATTGCATCTTGCCAATACACAGAGGCGGTCAATAGTTAGTGCGGATCAAATGACCATCCAAAGTACAAACCCTCCACATCACCCAATATGAACTCACAATGGTTCAGTAAAGTTTGGCTAACAAGAATCTGCTCTCTATGTCCTGACATGGTCAAACTCTTTCAGCTCTTTAAGGCTCCACTTTGGGCAATTAGAATTCCTGCGCTAAGAACTACAATAGAAAGTCAAAAATCATAACGTTTCCATCTAGATAAAGTTTACGAGATCGAAGAGGTTTGAATTCTTGTATTTACACGGATGACAAGAACTAAATCTTTTTTTAAACAACAAATCATCTGTCAATCAATTCCTTGGATTTCTCCTTCCAGTTGTTACAATGTGGATTAGCTCAACAAGATAGTTTGGATCTTGCTAATGCATCCAACCTGTCAATAGTTCGTGCACATCAAATGACTACTCTGAGTACGAATTTTTCACATCATCACGAGGTAATACTTCACATTGACACCGTGCAGTTCAAATGACCACCGTAAGTACGAAGCCTCCACATCACTTCATATTTCCTCACAATGGCCTAAGAAATCTCTCAAATATATTTTAGCAAATTTCCAAAAATCTTTCAAAAGTTTGATACAATCCAAATTTCAAATAGACTCTTGAATTTTTGCTATGCATATAATATCAAGCACGAGTTGGTAATCTTTGTTTGCGTAATTGAAACAGATCAAGTGAGTTAGGATAAAAAATGTGTTTTTTAAGTTATGTTGAACTCTTTTGGATTTGAATCTGAATGCACAATTCATACTTACCAGATAGTCTTGAAATTTGCAGTGCATATGACAAGGAAAGAAAATAAATAAAATTTAAAATAATTAATAATTAATTTTGAATTTTAAAAAATATATTAAAATAAATTGAAAATTTTAAAATCAATAAAAAAACTAAATTTAGAAAAATTCAAATCAAATAAAATAAATTTTAGAATCAATTAAAAATAAAATTCAGATAAATTCAAATCAAATAAAATAAATATTAAAATCAATAAAAAATAAATTTAAAAAATTTCAAATCAAATAAAATAAATTTTAAAATTTATAATCTTTCAAATTAAAAAAAATTTAAATTTATACAATAATTTAAAATATTTCAATAAATAATTATTAATTAAGCTTTTTGTACATTAGAAACTAAAAATCACATTTTTATAAGACTTTCATCACAATAACATAAAATATAAACTACAATCAAACCTGATACACTCATTTTTTAATTTATATATTTAAGTTGTATTGATAATCTATACTTTATTTTCTAATTAAAATTATTTAAGCTAATTTAACAACATATACATTATTATAGCTACAATTTCAAGTCTTATATTTGAAAAAAAAATATCCAATGAGCATCATACACATTTTCATCAAAAAATGTAATGATATTATGTCCATTGATAATAACGCACTGATTGATATTTTAAACCAAACATTAAAGTGTTAACATTCAAATTATATTCATCAGAGCATGGAGTATGTGAATGAACATAAGACTTCTCTATCTAAAATTGTTGGAATTAGCACAAGAAAATATGCAAAGCACACGGTGTATATTCAGCATGAATCTACTTAATATGTCTCATTTTCACTCTTTATAAGCATAAATTGTACAAATATAATCAACTCTTAAATTCAATAAAAAATTTAACATTTTAACTCAAATTTTTAATATCTAAATTTTTAAATTTTCACTTTGAATTCCAACATTTAAGTATTGATTTAAGAAAATATTACTTATCAAGTTTTCTAGAAATATTTTAGATATAAAATTATATTTATTTCCTTAAAAAAAATTAAATTTGATTTTCAAGATATGTTTAAATTTTCAAAGAAAAAAATAATAATTTGTGATATAATTTACAAAAAAATATTTTTTTTGTTAAAATCTGATAACTAATTCCTAAATCAATTTTTATCTTTTTTTTCACTAAAAATTTTTTCTTACTCAAAATTTTTCAAAATTTTAATTTCATGAAATACGATTTGTTAAATTTTCTTTGATAAATTAATATTTAACTTTTTTAATTAATTTTTTTAATATTTAAAGAATAAACAAGAGACTCTTGAAAATTTGCTCTTCATATGATATCAAGCACGATTTGATAATCTTCATCTATGCAAGTGGAGCAGATCAAGTGAGTTGAGATAAAGAATGAATTTTTGATTGTCGTTAATTTTTTTGGATTTGAGAATCTGAATGTACAATCTAATGTCCGTGAAACTCTTGAAAATGTGTGATGCGTATGATATCAATCACGAGTTGGTAATATTAGTATACGCAAGTGGAGCAAATTAAATGACTTGAGATTAAGAATGAGTTTTTGACTCACATTAACTCTTTTGAATTTGATAATTTGAATGTACAATCCAAATTTCCGAGATACTCTTGAAAATTTGCTTTGCGTATGATATTAAACACGAGTTGGTAATATTTGTGGACGCAAGTAGAGCAGATCAAATGAGTTGAGATAAAAAATTTGTTTTTTTGATTGTTTTTAAATCCTTTGTATTTGACAATCTAAATGTACAAAACAGTTTATGTGGTTATTGGAGATGACGGTAATGTGGGAACGTAAGTAATTTTTGGTTATATACATTTAAATTTTTGCATATTTATGATCGATCTAGAAGTTTTTTCATAAGAATACTCTAAACATTTTTGCGATTCCAGATTCACCACCCTCAACCTGCATACTCAGCTTTTCGAGAGGCGAGTTTTGGACATGGATTATTGGAGATTCAGAACCACACCCATGAGTAGTTCACTTGGCATTGCAATCAGAATGGTGAGAGAGATCAAGTGAGTTGAAATAAAGAATGAGTTTTTTTGTTGTCTTTAATTTTTTTGGAATAGAGAATCTGAGTGCACAATCCAAACTTTCAAGACACGCTTGCAAATTCGCTCTTGCAAATAATTTTTAAAAATGTTATACAAGTGTTAAGAAAAACATTTGAATGATTAAAATACATTAACCTATCCATATAAACTTCAGAAAAAAAATCTAAGTAAAAAACGAAACTTGAAAATTTGCTTTATGTATTATGTCAAGCACAAGTTGCTAATTTTCATTTGTGCAACTAAACTAGACCAAGTAAGTTGTGATAAAAATGAGTTTTTTTATTTTAATTAACTCTTCTCCAAAATTCCAATAGACTCTTGAAAATTTGATGTGTATATGACAAAAATAGTAAATAAATAAAATTTAATCTAAAATTTAAACAAATTAATTAATAAAATTTTAATTTATAAAATTAATTCTGAATCTTTAAAAAAAATTAAATAAATTGAAAAGATTTTAAATTGATACAATTATTTTTGAATTTTACAAATTATTTTTATATAAATTGAAAATTTATAAATCAATAAATTATAAATCCAAAAATCCAAAATAAATAAATCATAAATTTAAAAATCCAAAATCAATAAATCATAAATTTAAAAATCCAAAATCAATAAATCATATATTGAAAAATCCAAAATAAAAAATCATACATTTAAAAATCCAAAATCAATAAATCATAAATTTAAAAATCCAAAATCAATAAATCATATATTGAAAAATCCAAAATAAATAAATCATACATTTAAAAATCCAAAATCAATAAATCATACATTTAAAAATCCAAAATCAATAAATCATAAATTTTAAATTTTAAAATCAATAAATCATAATTTTAAATTTTAAAATCAATAAATTTAAAATTTAAAATTAAATGTTATTATTGATTAAATTGAAAATTGAAAATTTTTAAAATATTTTTATTAATTATTATCAATTAAATATTTTGTACATTAGATTTTAAAAAAAATACATTTTCACAAGACTTTCATCACAATAACATAAAATATAAACTACAATAAAATTCGATTAATTCATTTTGTAACTTAGATATTTAAGTATTTTTAATAACCTATACTTCTTAACCTAAAACCAAGTACGAATCACACGATACACTTATATGACGTGGTTCACCCTCAAGGGCTACGTCCACGGCTGAACACGCGAGCAGATTTATTGACAAGTGAATACATAGCACTTCAGCTCCTCATCGAAGCCTTGGCTTTGGGGTATATTTATACCCAAAGTCAGTGACACACATAGTTATAAATAGCTAGAGCCTCAAATTACTCCTTAACCGGAGTTAACCTCAACAATCTCTCCCTTAACTCGTGTTAAGGAAACAGTAACCTATGAAACCTATATTACTCAACGGAAAGTTCTAGACAGAATCCTAACACAAGGGCCCTCTTTACACGAGAGTTAACTAGAAACTAGACCGTATCCATAACAGAATAAAGTAATAACATAAAGAGATAAATAGAGTTAGTATGCTAGCAAATTTTACATGTGCTTCCCATGCACAACTTGCATGGTAGCACAGTGTCGCATGAAACTTTCCAATGGAATAACTTTGGTCAAAGCATCAGCTGGATTGAGTTTACCGTCGATCTTGACTAGCTCAATCGTTTTATCAAACACTGCTTGTGTGATAAAATGATACCTGATGTCAATGTGCTTCACTCTGCTATCCATGACCTGGTTCGCGGCCAAATGTAAAGCGCTTTGGCTATCACAATGAAGATTAACCACGTCTTGCTTCAATCCCATTTCCATGATAAGCATATCCAACCAAATAGCTTCCTTTGCCGCTTCTGTTGCTGCCACATATTCAGCTTCCGTTGTTGACTGCGCTACGCATTTCTGCAAGGTAGACCTCCAACTAATGCTTCCACCGCCAAGTGTAAGCACATACCCAGTTGTAGATCTTCTTTTATCTTGATCCTGTCCGTAGTCAGCATCAACGTAACCAAACAAGGATTTGGCATGATCTAATAGACCATC